TGAGAGATCAAGGAAATGTAGTATATCTGTTCTGATATGGCATTTTCTAAACCTAACTGGACGGTTTGTAAGCCTAACGTAATATTTACAATATATATCTCTTGATAAAACAGTTACAGTAGATAATAAGAAGGTAATGGAGAAATGTGCATAAAATTTGAATTTGTCCTTTTGGGAGGGGATGAAACCACTGACACATAAAATGTAAGAGGGCAAACAATTGGAAGATGAATCCTTGGAGGATTCTTATAAATCTAACAATAGGAAAAGGTGAGACAGGGAAAGATAATTAGTACAGAAAATGTGCCAATATGGTAGGATTTTACTTGGCAGCAACGTGGAAGAGGAATGAAAGAAAACAAGATTAGTAGTGGTAGAAAGAGAAACACAATCAAATTTTTAACTAATAAATTCAGAGAAGTTAAAGTAAAATTTGAGAAAGAGATTATTGGACTGAATGACTAGGAGGTCGTCGTTAACAAATGCTAGGGAAATTTCAGTAGCAAATTTGGGTGAAAATATATGAGAGATTCACGTCAGACGTGTAGTGATGAATGGAACGGGGAGCTTTTCTGCCTTGCTCATTGTTGAAGTCCATATTCCCTAAGGGTGGAGCTTTTACTGGGCTCTGCAACCTGCAGCGGGGCAGTTGGCATCTGCTCACCAAGCAACCTGTTCGGTTTTGTTGAAGTGACTGGTGATTTATAGCTATAAAATATGTTAAATTTTAAAAAATCATGCCCAGATTTTTTCCCTTTCTACTAAATCACCATGTAAAGTTCTCCAGAGTGTCTTGTCTGCTACATTAGAAGCCCCAATAAGCAGAATGACCCAAGAGAAAAAGATGTGTTGAATGCACCATCAGCATTGTTATTGGCTGATATCATCTGTGCTTATAATAAAAAGTGAAACAATCAGCAAGTTACTTACACCCAGGAGATGGTTATTTCTGCTGCTTGACCTAAAGTGTCTTGTAGAAGGTCTTGCCTTTGCTGAGTTTTCAAAGGTGATATTAAATATTTAATTCCAGTAGAACTTGGTAAGAGCATCTTGCCAACTCCTTTGCAATCAGGTTTGATTTCAAGTCTTCAATACAATTTTAATATTCATCAGCCTAATCATTTCGGAGAAGTGTGGGGCTGCTTGGCAATATAATTGTACATCCAGGAAGCTAGAGAGGAAACGGGTGTTTGGTTCCTTCCTGTGCTTCCGGTGACAACTGTCTGTGGGAGTCTGGTATTGTCTAACTCATTTTAGAAAGTTGTCTTTGCAGTTATTTTCAGAGTTTTTATACAATATTTTGGATATTCTCAGTGGCAGTAAACCTTCCTTCTTTAGAGGATAAATTGAGATTATAGGAAAATGGGTTTACATTTTGAAGTCATCACTGGGAAATAGAGTAGAGGTGAAAATGAGAGGAGTAATTTCATTTCTAATCAAATGAGGAATAATTCCAAAGGTTCCTTCCTGTGCTTCCGGTGACAACTGTCTGTGGGAGTCTGGTATTGTCTAACTCATTTTAGAAAGTTGTCTTTGCAGTTATTTTCAGAGTTTTTATACAATATTTTGGATATTCTCAGTGGCAGTAAACCTTCCTTCTTTAGAGGATAAATTGAGATTATAGGAAAATGGGTTTACATTTTGAAGTCATCACTGGGAAATAGAGTAGAGGTGAAAATGAGAGGAGTAATTTCATTTCTAATCAAATGAGGAATAATTCCAAAGGTTCCTTCCTGTGCTTCCGGTGACAACTGTCTGTGGGAGTCTGGTATTGTCTAACTCATTTTAGAAAGTTGTCTTTGCAGTTATTTTCAGAGTTTTTATACAATATTTTGGATATTCTCAGTGGCAGTAAACCTTCCTTCTTTAGAGGATAAATTGAGATTATAGGAAAATGGGTTTACATTTTGAAGTCATCACTGGGAAATAGAGTAGAGGTGAAAATGAGAGGAGTAATTTCATTTCTAATCAAATGAGGAATAATTCCAAAGGTTCCTTCCTGTGCTTCCGGTGACAACTGTCTGTGGGAGTCTGGTATTGTCTAACTCATTTTAGAAAGTTGTCTTTGCAGTTATTTTCAGAGTTTTTATACAATATTTTGGATATTCTCAGTGGCAGTAAACCTTCCTTCTTTAGAGGATAAATTGAGATTATAGGAAAATGGGTTTACATTTTGAAGTCATCACTGGGAAATAGAGTAGAGGTGAAAATGAGAGGAGTAATTTCATTTCTAATCAAATGAGGAATAATTCCAAAATATCACAACTCATTTTCTTGTGTAACATGTCAGTAGGCTCTTGTGAATGATCTAAGTAAAGCGAGGGAAATGAACAACTTTGAAAACAGAGCAGTTAGTTGCCTGAGTAATAAGAGGAGGTTGGGAGAGAAATATCCAGAAAAACAGTGGATGTAGGCCAAGGGACAGTGGCACCTATGACACAAAGAAGAACAAAGAACAAGAGTTTGTGAGGGGGAGGAAAGACACAGCTGTAAAGTAATGCTCATTGGAGAAGTAGCTGGGAGGCCTGGGAAACAAGAGCCTTCTGGGGGTGAGGGAGATGGTTGTCATCTCTTCCAGAGTTTCTGCTTCTTGTTAGGTGGACTCGAGTATTTCTGGATGTTTGCAATAACCACGAGGTTCCTCGATACCTCCCTCCAGACCCCAAAACAAGTGGGAAATGGAAGGGTGGCTTCTTATTAAGATGAACTGCGCTTTCAAAGGGCGGCATTTGTTATCAAGCTCTGCTGGGGAGGGGGCTGCTGTCTGCATCACAAGATCCGTTTCATTTATGATGAAAAGAGGTTCTGCTAATAAATTGCATGAAATTATAATTATCTGTGGATGACACTCCAACAATGCAGGAAATGAAAAGAATAGACACATGATTTTATAGCAGTTCTCCCTTTGCATGTCACATTTTCATCCTCTTACATGTTAGGGTTAACAGAAATCTGAGCACATTTAAGATTTAAGATATATTCCTGAAGAAAGTAAAAGTCATGGCACTGTTAATCTAGAAAGGCTTTACCAGTGAAAATTTTGTGTGTGTATATAATTAATGGACACAGCGAGCGAACACAGGTCATTTCCAATGCTTGTACAAAAGAATGAACAAAAGTGTGGATATGAAAAAGTGATAATGATCTCACTATGTTATGATGTTATGCTAAGGTATAAAATTAAAAATATATCCAGTTGCTTTCTGAGCTGCAGCAGGCCTTCCTGCCTTCCTGCAGAAGAATGGTGACAGAAGAGATGATATTGACATGTTACACAAATATGGCATAGAAATTCCAGAAAACTTGTGACAAAAATAAGTTGAATATCAGAGGATATTCAAAAGAAAATGGAAATCTCTTATAAAAACAACCATTCAAGGAAATGGTTAACCTTGATTTCAGTTTGATTCATTCATGCAAAAGTTACTAAAATTATTTGTTTATTGGTCATCAAGTTGATTATTAGAATCTGCATATATTTTAGCAATACTTTTATTCATGGGACAAATCTATTTTTCTTTTTGTTTTTATGAAGGAAATAAAATGAAATAAGATAGCACTGGTCTTATCTTTCAAGTAGAATTAATTAAGCTAAGATTTTGTTTTTATGTTTTGGGTTGTTACATTGCAACACTGGATAGTTGATTTCCATTCCTTGATTGATATGACCCCAAAAGATTGAAACATTTAAAAATATCAGCCATTTATTCATTCAAAGCTGTCTGATTGACTTGGATTACTGGTTTTAGGGTTATGGTTTCTGTAGAGCATTGGAAGGGAGCAGTCTTAGACTAAGTAACTTTACCTTGAGACAGACAGAAAGAGACAAACTGAGACAGAATATTAAATTTATATTTTAGAAGGTCATTCTAATTATAATGTAGAGAATTGACTGGAAGGGCAATAAGTTGAGGAGAAATAGCAGTGTAACAGGCACAATACTACTCTAGATTTTTAAAATTTTAATATAGTATTACCCATTAGAGTGTAGAATTTGAATGTCAAGATTTTGATGTAGAATCTATCACTTACTAGCTGTGTGACTAGGATAAGTCACTAAATCTCTTCATATGCCAATTTTCTTATCAGAAATTTGGGAAGGGTGATAGTTTTTGCCTCGAGCTATCATTGAAAAGAATTGGGTTAGAATATTACAAAATATGACAGGCACAGTTCAAGCACAATATAAGTGTATGCAGTCAGTGAGCTGGGGTGGCTGGGATGGTTAGAACAGAAAGTGGACCACATTTGGGGTGTGCCACGTGCCATTCTCTGAAATAGAACCACTAGAAGAGAGGAAGGAGTTGTGGAATGGATGGGGAGTTTCGAATACAATACTATTCCTTTGTTAAAATGGAAGTCCTTTCCAAAATTTTTGGTGACATTCTTTCTTGTGGAACATACGAGATAAATTGAAGATTGATATCATTACTTGCTGTGTGGCTGCTAAATACCATGCTTAGTCAGTGCCTCTTTTGGTGACTTATCTGTGTTTGTGTTGCAAGGGTGGCCTTAGACTCTCCTTAAAGAGGTTTTGGTCAGCATCAGAACTCTTTGGAAATACACTAACCTAATATAAAAGCATTGTAAGTACAACGGGGCTTTTGAAAGGAATTGTATTTCGTAGGAAATGAGCTCTTATGGAGGTGTACAAATCTTAGGGAGCTACAGTTTGTTCTTATAACTGATGGTTTTTACTTGTATGTTTTTATATGCCTGCTCCACAGATATGTCTGTGCTCTTGCAGCTTGTTAAGCCATAATGTAAGTATTTTCTCGGAGCCAGAATTATTACTTTTTATACTTCATAATTCTGTGAATTCCTCCAATAGTGCTAAGTGAATAGGTGCTCAATTTTTAAGGGATCCTTAAGATGAATTCTGCATTTCCTTTGATCTGTTAATGATTTTTTTATTTTACATAAAGGATGTTTCAAGCAAATCCCTGTGATTATATGCAGACTACAATGATTTCTCTTTTCTGTTTTTCCCGGCCTTCCAGTTTGCTCCCAGTTTTCAAGAGGTGTCTATGCGATTTTTGGGTTTTATGACAAGAAATCGGTCAATACCATCACCTCGTTCTGTGGGACCCTGCACGTGTCCTTTATCACCCCCAGCTTCCCCACGGATGGCACGCACCCTTTTGTGATCCAGATGAGACCCGACCTCAAGGGGGCTCTGCTCAGCCTGATCGAGTACTACCAGTGGGATAAGTTTGCTTACCTCTATGACAGCGACCGAGGTGAGTATGCGCGAGGGACAGCTCTGTCGCTGTCATTGGTGAACTCAACAATTGAACTCAACATTTAGGCAGTTACAGAGCTGTAAATGTGCACTAAGGCCTGAGGGTCACTTGGCTTAGTTTGGTTTTGCAAATGAATAATGCAGTATGAAAACTTGTTAGCATATTTGGAGTAAATAACACAATAAAAGGCCTGTGTGTATGATTTACAGAGATAGTCTGCTATTCCGTGGCCCAGATGTTCAGTTTTAGCCCAAAAAGCAGTTTCTGGCATCAGCAGCGAGGACAGTATGATAACTCTACTGCTAGTCTAAAGGGAATGAAATGGCTTATGTGCTATTTACATGACTATGTCCACAGAATGTTCTGGTGAGTTACAGGTATTATATACTGCTGCATGCAGGCCCTAGTGTTATTACTCTTGCATGAAGGTAAGGCCCTTGAATCTCAGAGAGAAGTCCATAGGATCGTTTACAATGAGAAACCTTTGATCTGCACACCAGACTTGACTGATTATACTGACCTTTGTGGGGGAAATATCTTCTTTACAGTTTTGACATTTCTTGCTTGACTTCCGTGACTCAGAAGCCCAGACATTCCTAGACATTGGTGGATTCATCACTGGGCTGTGTGAGGCTGTAGGCCCCTCGAACTATTTCACACGTTTTCCACAGATGTTTCCGTGTGTGTATTTCTAGAGAGAATATCCAGAAACCTAGGTGAAAGGCTAAGGTGCTTCTGTCAGCAGGATAGCTAAGCAGCATGCTGAGTTTCCTCCAGCAGCTGGCTCCCTGGAGTATTTGAAGGTACAAATGGAATCCAGAAGACTGTGTGGCCCAAATCCGACAGCTTGTTACCCATAAGGGCAGATGGGGAGAGAGCCGGCCCCGTGGGTTCTGCATTGATCACTTTGCAGTCTTTGGCTGCAGCAAGACAGGGTCAGGAGTACCCTAGCTGGTGCCTGCCTTCTGCCCAGTCCCAGCCCTGGAAGTCTGTTCTCTGGCCGGCTCGGGCGAATGGCTGCGTCAGCAGCTTCTCTGGGCTTCCGCGGGGAGTGAAGAACTGAAACAACCATTTGTAGTAAATGTGGGTCCTGATGTGCTGGATGACTCCGAAAGCATACTTCTTTTTAACGTGATAAAAGAGCTTATACAACCGAGTGGTCATTTTTAGTCTTTGCTCTTGTTAACTGCTCCTTTTAAGGTTTTAATAGTACATGTGTGTAGTGCATGCTGTTTCCATTCATTGGAGGGAGTAGGTACAAATACTCAGCGTACCTTAATTCTTCTTAGTCCTCTTCCCTTCCCCATTCTCCTCCCTTGGTCCCTGGGATCCCTTCCATCCATTTTTTTAAAATTCATTTATTGCTAGTTTTGTTAAAACTAGCTTGGAACTCTGATACATCGCAGTGCCCTTCTCACCTTAGCACCTTGCTGATGGAATTTCTGTCACTGCATGCGTGTTATTTCCCATCGCCCTTTCTTTCACTGCCAGCTCCTCCCCTGGCCAAGTCACCACCGCCTGTCCAGTCTCTTGTCTTTCCCATTCCACATGTATCTTGCTTGCTTTAACCAGATTTGGACAAGACAGCCAGAGCTGCTGTTTAAATTTTTTTTGACAACTTCAATCCCTTTCTTAAAGCACTTCAGTGGCTTCACATTGTGATGAAGATGAAATAAAAATTCTTATCATGGTTCTAAGGCTTTCTAATGCCTGTTTCCTGCTGAATTCTTTGGTATATTCTGCTCTCTTACTCACTCAATCAGGCTAAATATTTGACCTTCTTTCTCTGTATGAGGGGCCCAGCTCTTTCACCTCCAATGTCTGCAGCCTGTCCCAGGCTCTCGTCCCTTCTTGACCTCCAGTGTATGTACCATTTCCTCATGGTTCTCACTTTCTCTCAAAACAGTGTCTTACCTTCCTTCCCAGGACTCAGTGCCACACTTAATTAACAGTGGTGGGATCCTGTCTGTCAAGAAGAGCTCACTGAGCTGTGCTCCAGGGACCAAATTAGTTATGCACTAGAGTTCTGTGTCCAGTTCAGTCCTGGCTGTCAACTCAGGAAGGCAGTGGCCCAGAGAGGACAGAACACCCAGTGTGCAGTCTGCACCCAGTTAACCACCCCTCCGGGTAGTGCTAGAAGCAGGTGCTGGTCAGTGACCAGGACTCATTACCAGATGACTCAACACACCCCCCCCCGCAACCCTCCTTGCATGTTGAGAGGAAGCTGGAGCTGAAGCTTCCTGCACAGACGGAAGGAAGGATCAGAAGACTTAGGCATTCCCATTTCCCAAGGCTGGAGATACATTTGTCGTTTCAGAACACACTTCACTCTCACCCTCACCATTATTGCCTGTCTTTAAAATTGAACTTTTGAGAATATCCAAATAGACACCAGCTGCTGTAAATAGAAGAGCAGCTCTGGTGTGTGAAAAAAAATGGAGAGAGATGGGAGGCGGCCACTGACGGATGAACTTTCATACCAGCAAATAGGATCTGGGACATTTTTAAATGATTTTATTAGTACTTTAGAAATATTAAGTGAAATTGACTGGTGAGATAATGTACAATTATTAAATTACATAAATTGATTTGAGTCAAGTGCATCTGGTGAGCAAAGAACATTAGAATGATAATAATATTAAGTAATTATATATTAAAGCCAAAATGACCTTACAAATACATTTTCAAGGTATTATCGAGGAGCTGGTGATGTTTTAATGTGAGAGATATTACACTGGCCTTTCAACAGAAACTATCTTCAGAGATAAATGTGTAGGACTCTCGGAATACTGGCAGAAGACTTGACCTTTGGGTAATGTTGTACTTGGCTCTTGAAAATGGGATTATTGCTCTCTAATTTTTTCTTATTACCGTAATGACTCAATTATTATGGCTTCAACATCATACTCCTTTTAAAAAGTCACTCACACATTCCTCATGTGACTACTTTCTTTCCTTTGGGCTTACCCTGTTTCTCTTATTCTCAAAGAGGCCCTTCCTTGCCTTAATGTTATATGATTAGGGGAAGGAAAGTTTGTTTGCTTTCCTCTCATTAGCCAGGCTTTGAAAACTAGATTGTCTGGTTCCATCTTTCAACCTGTATCTCTCCTTGCTTCCATTTCAGACTATTTGCTCTGTCCTTGATATGACGCCCTTGCTATCTCCGTAATTAGGTGTTTGTGTTCAAGCTTCTCTTTCCTCTTCTGAGAGTCTAGTTCAGGTCAATAGACTGTTAAACGATAATAACCTAAATATATAAATGAATATTGTTTGGAGTAGCAACAGTGTAGGGCCCATGCAGGAAAATTCTCCCTAACATCCTGCCCAGATTGTAAGGTAAGTGAAAAAGGTGAAGTTGTCCTCCATTGCTTTGAGTAACTATTTTCAAATGCTATCAAATTGTTCCTCTTTCCTCACTGTCTGTCAAGGGCTGAGAAGCAAGTTAAGTGGTTGCATCCCCTTTGTGACAAGTGCATCCCGGTCTTTGAACAGGAGCATCTTTGATGAATCTAAATGTGTTGCTGACAGGGAGCTGAGACTGTCTCTCTGATGCCAGGTCACCCTGTGGGCTTGCAGGTCTCACTGAGGACCCCTTGTCCTTCCTCCGGGCTGCATGCTAAGACAGGGAGCAGGTAGAGGAACTTCAACACCTTTGTAACAGTGGAGCAACGTGTTACCTTTGTGAGTTCATCAGATATTTTAGTTTTAATCTTTAGGTATATGTGTAGTATATTAGAATCAGCACTTAACTGTGGGTTTTAATTATTGGTTCAGTGCCAACAAGATAAAGTAATACTACATGTTTCATAGGCAGTAGCAAAGCTATGTCTTGATTTTAATTTTGAGCAAAAATTGTCTCCTGTAGGGAAGGTATTTTGATTTTAGTTCTAAGAAAACATAACACATAGAACAAATATGCTTCCAAATGTAAACTTCTTTCCGGCATTTCTGGAGGAAGCATGAAGGAGTGCTGTGCTAATCCAATCTGGGCCAGCCCTGCCACGGTGATTTAGCGATCATAAATATTAACCACTGTGCCTGAGAGAATGCATAAATGCAGCAAATTTTAAATGGAATAAAAACATTTTTAAGAGAAAAGACATGGACTGAATGAAGTATACCTTTCCACAGTGACCATTTTAAATTCCACCCTTTCATGTGAAAGCAGACACTGAGATGCCCTCAGTTTGCAGGCTCGTGGCTGGTGTGGTGCTCCAGTGTCCTGCACATTAGTTCGAGAGGAAGCTGTCCCTTGCGCCAGTGTTGCTGTGCACTCTACAAAGCTGGTCCTTTGTCATGGGCCTACACAGTTAGCGCCGTGCTGACAACAGGTGCATGGAGAATTGGGGCAATTTAATAACATTGGAATCTGGCCATTTGTCTAAAATTGGACTTAGCCAAATACCTAAAAATTCAGTAGAGTTGAGAACCTAATTTTAGGCTTTTATAATATTCTTAAACATTTGGGGGGAAGACTATGTTTTTAATATATTGACTAGGAGGGATAGATATTTTCAAAATTTGTTTCTATTTCTAGATGAACAAGTCTATCTTAATATTTTTCTTTGTTCTACATAATTCCATAAAAGGAAATCAGAAAATTGAGTATCCTGATACAGTAGTATGATTGTTACATTTAATAATATTTTTACTAAAGGCTTTAAGTGAAACAGTGCTTGTGTGGAGCTTTCAGTGTCCATACCAGTTTATATTCTGATAATTGTGCTTTTGAAGATAGTTCTGGGTTAGTTTCATGGGTTGGGATGAAGCATATCTCTGGTAACGCTTTCCTCTTGAAATTATAAGATGGTACTGGGAGATCAAGAGCATGAATTTGTGTTATATTTGGCATATTCAAGTCGATTTTACCTTCATGGTCATAATATACATTTGTAGTATTAAAGTCATCTGTTAGTGATATTTAAACTTAAAAGCTAACTGTCACCTATAAAGAAGTCAGACTTAATTCACGACTTACACTTAGTTGTAAGCAGTGGGGAGGTCCCGTGAAGAGTGTGGGCCTGTTACTATTACCGAAAAAGTCCTGATAGATTTCCACACAGACGACCATGTCTTCTCTAAGTACTGTCAGATTTGCCCTTGTCCGCGAGTGGCTCCTGGCTGGCCTTCGAGGTGATTTAATGTTATTCAGTGTCTTCTGACTGAACTAAATTTCTATCAAATTTGACATGGAACTACTTGAGCAGTTTAGCTTCTTAATAAATTGATGAAATTTTCACAAGACATTAATCCTGAGTTTTAGCAATGGAGACTGCATGGACTGTAAGTTATTTTTATCACCTAAAATGAAGGAGTGAAAGACATTTTAAAACTACATTCTTTTCGTATATCATTCTCACTCATATCCTCTGGCAGGATATATTGCCAATAAATTTTAAATTTAAAATGATCACTTGACAAAAATCCATGCATGCATTTTAAGTGAGTTTGCATTTTAGTTTTCGTATCTGTCAAAAGGTGGGATAGAATGTCAAGTGTATGACTTCTTACTATGTGAGACTTCTTAGCATGCCGGAAACTTCCTAATTAAATAAAAACGAATGAAATAACTTATTGCAAGAATAAAGGATGCTCCCTGGAATTGATAAACTGTGGCCTGCGTATAGCCCACCACTCATGGATTTTTCTCATGTTCTTAAGAAGGTGGGGGGGGGCTGTACAGTGATAGGACATGGAGAGCAGAGGGTTAGAAATTCTGATTTGTTTCCTTCCTCCTTGGACACAATGTTGGATAAACTTGATTGCTGTTTTCAAGCACACGGATAGCTGTGGGGCTGATAAGACAGCCAGCTGCAAATGTTCTGACTCTGCCGGAGGCAGTTGAATCATACAGCATGAGAGGATTTAATTCACCCAAAGTGAGCAGAAATCATAGGTGCTCTGTGATGGTTTTAACACTGTACATTTAAAAAAATGAAATGTAGTCTTTTCAAATTATCCCTTGAGAAATTCATATTTATCTACATCTTTATTTTATGGGACTAGATTCAAGAAACTAATTTTGTTATTTTACTCCCCCCAAAAAACAGAGATAAAAGAAAGCAAAACAAAATGATACACTTGTTTAAGTTTCCTTTCTGAAATAAAAATAAATTATTTTTCATGTTCATTATGAAGTATTTAAATGACAACTAGAATAGTAGGAAGACTCCTAAGCATTCTGTTTTGCTTTTTGATATTTTTTTGTAGTACTGGGAGTTGAGGCTGGGGCCACAGTTCTGAGCTGCATCTCCACCCACTCCCTTGCTGTTTTGAGACCTGGTCTCCCTAAGTGGCTAAATTAATTGTCCACAGTTGTGATACTCCCTGAGCCTCCCAAGTTCACGGACTGCAGGTGTGCACCACGTTCCCAGTACTCAAGCATTCTTAACTTAGTTTTATTCATGACTAGTATGAGTAATTTTGCCTTTTCTTCTATAGCCCTCTTTTCTGTGCAGTTATTTAGGGACAAGTAATCCTCATACCTTTCTTTTATGTGGTGTTGAAGACATTATCCTCTGCCCTTTATCCCTTGTAAATTGGTAGTGGAAGGTGGGTGAGAGTCAGGCTTAAGTTGGTGGCCTTCGTGGGTCACAGGTAGCGCTGAGTATCTTTGTTTGGAGACCACAGTCATCTCGGTAGCTTCCCCTTTGAGTTGTGACCAGGCCTTGATGATTGTTGGTTGATGCACTGTTGCAGTAGTGTTACAGAGTAGTAGTGCATCTAAATCTATACTCAGGCATCCAGTGTTAGCTGGTATTTCTAAAAAGAACAAACTTTAATTTGTTGTTATCCAGGGTACAGTTCATATAGGAAGGCAAGAACGTGCATGTTTTCCTCCCTTAGTTTTCAAAATAATTAATTGATTCCAGTCCATTGAAGATAAGCACATTTTTTAAACTAATATATTTTAACCGTTATTTTAAAATACGACTTCATAGATTAAAAGTATCTCATGTCTTTTAGTCTTTGGCACTTATTCTAATTAACATTCCAATTACCCTATCTTTATTTAAACAGAACCTCTTCAGATTGACCCTTTGGTCTTTTGACACAGCTCTGGGAGAACATCCTAGTTTTCTGGCATCATGAGATGTTCGAGACTCATCGTATAAACTCCTCTGCTAATAATGAATCTATAATAATTTTAATAATTTTTTATAAGGTGAAGTAATGTTTGACAAAATTTATAGTTAATATATTTCTTGTCATGGTAAAAAGTTTTAAATAAAATGTTGCTTTTACATGGTACATTTTAGCAGTGCAGCAGGATCAGTATTCTTCTGAGAAATAGGCAGACCTTTCTGGAAATAGTGGGGTGATATGTTGAGCTCAGAATTCCTTCTGTCACCTGCACTTCCTGTCTCTCACGTGGACAAGAGCTTGACTTGAGTGTGAATAGATGGAATGGTGAGGGAGACAAGCTTCTGTACTAGTCTTTCCACTGCTAAACTGCAAATTAACTCTTCAGGAAACAAATCCTCTAGTTGTTAAGCCTCTCAGTCCCAAATATGAGGAAATATTTGGAGAAGTAAAAATAATAATAATAAATTTCTGAGTTCTGTCTGCTAGAAGCAGAATTACTAATAAGTGGTGAAATAATCTTCTACTGAGGAATTGAGATGTCTGTGGAGAGCTGCCGTGATGTGTTTCATTGGCAGACGTTTTAGCTGCTATGAGATCGGTTCTGATAACAAAAAATAATAAAACAGAAGGCTGCAGAGAGGGAAAATAAAGCAGTAAAACTGCAGACTCAAATCAATAGGAGGAAATATTACAGCATCAGGGAGATTATTGCCTGGGGTCACACAGCTGCCTTTCATTGAAATGTGCTTAACTCCTCAAGGACATCAATGTCAAATGATAGCCGGGCACAGAAGACCCAACTCCTTTGCCAGTCTATGGGAAGAGAAACGTTTGGGATATCTTTTGATTTCACTTAAACCTGATACATTCAATACATGACACTTCGGTTATATCCCAGAAAAAGACAGCTGGCGTGGTTGAAGAAAAGGGATATTGTCTTCCTCTTGTTTTGGTTAGAACAGTAGTATTTAAGTCATAAGTTTTGATGGGAAGTCGACATAGTAGATATTGATGGCAATCATAGCTTTATTTTTGAAGAGTCAACTTCACCTCAGTGTTGACTGTGTGTGCACTGGTAATTTCACAGCCTAGATCTGAGTCGAGTGTCCTTCGGAGTCATCGTTTTCCTTGCCTTCCTAGGGTTATCAACACTTCAAGCTGTACTGGATTCTGCTGCGGAAAAGAAGTGGCAGGTGACGGCTATCAATGTGGGGAACATCAACAATGACAAGAAGGATGAGACCTACCGCTCGCTCTTCCAAGACCTGGAGTTAAAAAAAGAACGGCGAGTGATCCTGGACTGCGAGCGGGACAAAGTGAACGACATCGTAGACCAGGTAGGCTCCTCTCTGTGCCTCTGCTTTCACCACATTTAGCACATGTGTGTGACGCCAGCGTTGGCATGGAGCATGTAGTGTGAGGCTTAGACAGAGGTTTTCCCTTCATGAGCAGAGATCATCAATTGCATGATCTCTGGCTGTCAGAAACACCAACAGTCGTAGTAGTTATGAAATAAATTTGGCTTATAATTCCTTACTTTGATGCTTTACGTACATCCTGCACTAGACTGTGATATTTGAGTTGAAAAATTTAAATTCTGCAGAATTTAATTCTTTACTAGCTAAAGAAATAAACACGTATTGAGCCAAAATCTGAGTTCTAAAATAATTTTTTTTTCCTCACTGAATTTGTTGGTACATTTTAGGTATACAGTACAGTTACGTTCATCATTGGGATGTGAGTTCTAAAATTGGAAGGAGTTCTTTGAGGAACACAAATTCTTTCAGATATCAGAGTACAGTATGGTGGATTCTAATGTGAAAAGCTGATCTTAGTATTTAACTAGGTCCATGTCTCTAGGAAGAGTAGGTACTTATTTTTGTAAGAAATAATTTTCATCCTTATATTAAGAGATGTGTCACTCACTATGCACAAAACAAACTGTGAAATTAAAATAAGAGAGACATTCAGACCACATTCAGTATTTGAAAAGTTAACGAGAAGTATCCATTTGGACTGTTCGAACAAATTACATGATGCAAGAGATGAGAGTTTATCTATCCTTATTATACTACCTTGTTTTAGTTTAAGATCTTTTTAGGATATGGCAGCTATGCAATGATATCATAACGATAAAAAGTGAAGTCCACCATGTTTTAAAAACAGGGTAAGTATTCTGGGATACATAATGATCTACTGAGCAAAGAGATGGTAAAGAAATGAGTTCAGTGGTGTCTATGGGATATGTGTGTGTGTGTGTGTGTGTGTGTGTGTGTGTGTGTAATGGGGGCTACTAGGTCCTTGGAAATATATATGACTGAAAAGAAAATCCTAGTCACATATGCCTTTCTTGGCTTGTCTAAGTTTAGGGGCAAAAATTAGATACAATAATTTTTTCCAACACAAAACATTTTACAAATATAAATGGTAATGAAGCCCTAATTGGTATATAGCATAAACCTTAAGACATAGGAAGTGAATTTCCTATAATATTTTGAATCACTGAATTAACTTGTTATAAGAAAGAATCACATATTGTATGACAAAGAGGTGAATAATGTCAATGTTTCACGAGATGAATTTAGGATTGTTTTCAACCTGAAGGCCTTTTGTGCAGATTTGAATCTCAAAATCTCATTTGAATTTCATAAGAGATTTTCATTAAACCTGCATTTTAATAATATTCATTAGTCTTGTTTAAAAAATATAAGTATTCCTGGCCCATCATCATAAATGTTGGTAAAAACCTATTTAAAAATAACATCGTTCAAAACTAGAAAGAAGAAAGTACAAAAAAATTTGGGGCCATATGAAAAGCATTGTTTAGTAGTAAATCTATTCTAATGGTTACATAAATGTTCTAATTGGGAGTTACTCATGATAGAGAGTGTGTCACACATGGGAAGGTACCCTTGAACATGCTGAGTGCATACAGTGGTGGTGTGTGACTCTGCACACATTCTCTGAGGACATCCTCTGTTCCAGAGTGAAGGGTGCAAAGAAGACAAGGAAGAGTGGTACTTTTGTAGCCCATGAACTTGTGTAGAAGGGAAGAAAACAATGCACATGTATAACATAACATCACCAGTTGTAATGCAGTGCAGTGTGTCCGTCGGCTTCCATTGCTATAACAAACACCTGAGATGGGAAAACTAACAGAATAAAGCTTTAGTTTGGCTTATAGTTTTAGAGGTTCAGCCCATGACTGATTGGCCTGCTGCTTGTGGGCATGTGGTGAAGGAAGCACTTCACTTCCTGGCAAATAATGAGAACCATAGGAAGAGACCGGAGCCACAGTCCCCAAGAGGATGTGCCCCCAATAGCCTAAAATCTCTCATGGGGCCCTACTTCGTAAAGGCTTCTGCAATCTTCCCTGTCACCTCCTTGCGACCCACACTCTTCATGCGTGGGCTTTTGGGGACATTCACAATCCATACTGTAGGAGTGGTCTAGAAATGAGGAAGACACGCCTTTCTTTCCAGGGAAAGGCAGAGCTGTCCAGGGTACACAGAGAAGTGGCAGTCAGCTGCTTGGGTTCATTTACTTCTTGGTTGAATACATATTCCCCAAGTGTGCAGCGCTTACTGGAAGCCACAGCATTCAGTCCTCAAAAGTCAGGTGAAACAAAATGGGTCAGGCCCCATGGAGGTGTGTGCAACTTGGGGTGAATGTGTGATTACATTAGTGGGGCATCTGATGGATGCAGAGGATGGAGTGTTCTGAGATAATTTCCGAAAGAAGCACTTTAGATTTGGATAGTCTTCCAGGAATAGAGTTTAGTAGACAAAGTGGAGATAAAGTGCTTTCCAAGAGAAAACACTATTTATTTACTCAAGCAGTATTTACAAAGGAAGAGATGACACTCTACCTTCCCAGTAGAAGTAGAATTGAACTGCATTTCATCATAGGTATTTTATTATCATTTGTTAAAACCTTGGAGGTACTTATTTCTAGCTGTGCATATGTAGGGAAAGTATTCAGCAAAAAACATAAGTTAGCATAAATTTTCCATACTATTGTTAGTACAATATTGTTTTACAAAGCAAAGTTATAATTGTTAATTGGCCAACACTAATTTTTATATAGATTTTAGTGAATTGTCACATCTCTTTTTCTCTCAGTGAACACTTAAGAACTACTGGTATCACCATTTCTACTGTGTTTACCCTAATTCTCAGAAGGAAGACCTGGATGCTTCAGAAATTAGAATTTCCAATAAGCGGAGCCAGCAGATGTCCTTAGGATATGTGGTGGACACCAGTGTCTTGATAAAATTGATATTAATTCATGAGTTATTCATTGAGAAGGATACACAGTGTTTAAAATCCTTCAACTTAGAGGCTATAATTTCTTGGAAAAGGCAATTTAGTTACATTGTATACAAATACCTTAGAAAAGAATATACACCCCAACTTCTTCCAAACAGCTGCCAATTATGATCAGAGTGGCATATGGTAGAATTCCTCCCAGGATCTTTGTCCTCGCTCTTCAGCTAAGTAGGTTGCTTGTGCACATCTGTCTTTGTAGGAGAAGATGAAAAATCAGGGAACTCTCCTCCCAGGAGCTAACAGTCCAGCTGAGAATCACTGCACTGTAAAAGTTAATAAGACAAAAGATACGGTTATGGAGATGGAGGGATGGGCAGTAGTGTTTCAGTGCTCCAGGATCTAAGAATGGGCCAGGTGCCTTGAGCATAGACAGTGGAGAATGTGGGCTGGGAGAAGCTCACATAATCATTGGAGTTTGCAGGCTGTTAAGAATTTTGTTTATTTTCCTAAAACATTGGGAGTTACTAAATTGGGTTACACAGAAGACTGAGCCAATGGCTTCGATTTTCATCTGTAGCCTTGGCATTTCTTACTTTTTTTACACTGTGATTATTATTTTTTAAAGAATAGAGATTACATTTGAATATAGAGGTCCTTGGATTTGTGATGGCTTGATTTATGACCATTCAACTTGACAATATTATGCAAGCCATATATATTCAGCAGAAACTACTAGGAGGTTTTGTTTGTTTATTTGTTTTTGTTTATTTGTTTGTTTTTGTTTATTGAGACAGGGTCTCACTATGTAGTTGAGACTGACCAGGAACTCACTCTGTAGCCCAGGCTGGTCTTGAACTCACAGCAATCCTCCTGCCTCAGCCTCCCAAGTGCTGGGATTACAGGCGTGCACCACTATGCCCAGCTAGGAGTTTTGACTTTGATCTCTTCCGGGGCAAGGACATGCTATGTGGCAGTATCAGGCTAGGGCGAGGTGGTGCGCCTCAACTTCCAGCCCCATCGTCAGCGGTCAGAAGGGTAACAATTCATACTGTCCTCTCACACTCGACTGCCCGTTGTGGTCAGAGATTTGGAAAGTTAGCTACATTAGAAGCTTTGTGTGTGTGGGTACTGGGAATGGGACACAAAGTAGCTTGAGATGAGCCGCCCACCCCTTCCCATGGGAACTCACTAAGTCCCCCAGGCCTTGGATCTTCCTACCCCAGCCTCCCAGAGTGTTGGGATTCCGGTGCACTGCACCATGCTGGGTGGTGTTTAACGTGGCATAACCTCATCATGAGTTGAAAAGTGTCTCTGTTTTCCAGAATTTCAGCACACACATTTTCATTGCGCTGTGACCCACTCTTTTCATGTTGTTGGTCAGTAAAAAGTCACATTGATTCAGTAATGTCCAAAAACTGTTGTGAGCATTACCAGCAGACTTGTTGTTCCACAAGGTGCTTTTCATGCTATTGATCTTTTATATAATTTGTTAAAAAAAAAAAAGCCCTCTCTGATACTTTGCTTTGTAAACTAAAAATAATGTCCATTTGAACTAAGCTGTAAGCATTTGAAGGTTCTGAGGATCAGAATATTTTATATATCAATTTAAAATTTACTCATTAACATTTTTTCAAATTTTAGCAGTTCTGTAACTGTGTGCTTATCTTTGATATTACAGTGTGTGAGTATAAAATCTCAGATGTTGATCTTAGTTGTTTAATATTTCACTAAAAAGCCAAAGACATAGGGCTAAGGATTTAGCTCAGTGGTTCCAGAGCCTGCCTTGCAAGTGCAAGGGCCTGAGTTTCAATCCCTGGTACTAAAAACAAAAAAGACAAAGATATGGCTTTTGCAGAAATAATATTGTGAGTTGATTGGATAATTATTTGGGGTTAGTGATGAACTTCTTGAAAGATAATTGTTATTTAGGACTAAAATGCAGTATTATTTTTCCTTGAGAGAAATATTCTCTGGATTTCATAAAGGTATAGTAGATGTATTTTCTGTTATTTCTGAGACAGATTGCAATACTAGTAGTTATGATGACATTATGCTTATTAAATGATTGTCTATCTTTGGTAGGTTATCACCATTGGAAAACATGTGAAAGGGTATCACTACATCATTGCAAACCTGGTGAGTAAACTGATTACTATTTATTATTTCACTACTCTTTCTAAAATTAACTTTGAATGATGACCATTTATTAGTGGTGTTTCACAAATACAATTTTGTTACACGTATTAGTTTTGTAGTGGCACGTGTTTCAACTTGCTGCTTTAGATTTACATCCCACTTTACATTTCCAGTTAATTTCCTATTATAAAAACTGATGTAGGATTTCATAGATATTTAACAAATTAGTAGGTTTATTTAAATAAGGGAAAACTTTCAAAAAAATACAAATTTAATTGTCAGTATATCTTCTTGCTACTTACTGGAAGTATGTTTTGTAAATTTCACCTTACGTACATTCCCTTAAGGTTTTAGCATGTGTAATACCTGAAATAAATGCATGTTTGTGAGAATACACTTTATTGCAAAATTAAAAATGAATAATATGGAAGTATTATCACTATTATATATTACATAGTATGTAATGTCAATATGTTATGATTTATTTCTGATTTCCTCTTTACTACTATGTAATTAGTAGCATGAAAATTACATTCTTCTGCTGGGCCCTTTTTCATCAAGATTCTTGTCAAATTAAGATCACACTAAAATAATGGAGTAGTTAATGGTATCTCCTTTCTGAAGTATATGCAGAGTCACCAGCTTAGGATAATCATTCAGTATTTTTTCAAAATAGTTTTAGATTATGTTGACTAATGAAATTAGGCCTTTAGTATTTCAGAAGTTTATGTTATTTAAGTTGACATGACCCTGTGTGATTGAAATTCAGTATCCCTGTCCCCCAAGCACAACCTCAGGAAACAAAGGCGGGAAAACTCGTGAAAACATCAGAAAATGCAAGCGTATTTAAAAGAGCACATTAGAGTTCTGTGGGAGTCTTGCATTTATACAGATGTAGATTTCTTTAATGATTTCTCCAGTATCTGATTGTACAGGAACAATGACAGAAAGAGACAAACACAAAGCAAAAATCACATCTGAACAATATTTACTGTTTTTACTGAAGGCAGTGTCAGGGACTTAGCATATTAAATGTCAAACCAATATGCCAGTGGGAGAAGGTGGTTGTTTAAGGTGAGATTTCCCTTTGGCAATGAAATGGCCAGGACTATGCAAACTCTGTAGGGTTTTCCCCTAGTGTTTCCTGAGGAGGTGCAGGGGGACCCACAGAGAAGCAGCAGTTAGAACCGAGGTGCTCTGTGTGCAGGTTCCTCAGAGCCTGGTTCAGTGCCAGAGCAGCTGGGCTGCAGTCCCTGGTGTGGGTCTTGCCGTCTGATGAACAGCACACAGCCACTTAGAAAGCGCCCAGATGGAGAAGATTATATTGATACACCGAGAAATAATGACAGAAGGTGGCTCAGCAGTCCAACAGTTGATATGTGGTGCCATGAAATAGAAAGAAGTGTTTGAATGAGCAAAGTTTATTTTAAAAAGGAAGTCTATGCTGCTATCATTTTTCCAGGGAATCATCTACTTGATACTTAATCCAATTGCAAGTTCTGGTTTTTATTTTTTGTCCTGAAATCTTGTTTTCCTCCTCATATGGAACTTCTCACAATCGATAAGTTTAATGAGAAATTTTGCCGCAATTTTGGGGAATTTAGAGGATGCTTGGAGATTTCACTGACACTTATGTTTGAAGAGTACATCTGAAATCAAAGGGCTTCATCTTCCAGACTCTGGACTGGAACTCCCCCTTCTGTCCTAGCCCATGTCTAGAGGAGCTGATAGTGCAGGTGTTGTTATTGATCTGCTTCATAAAGGCTTGACAATGCTGTGAGAAAGTTCATGATACAGAATCCAAAAGGATGACGAGTATGTGGGGTGAGGAGAGAGGAGACATAATGGCATTGGGCTCTCATTTCCTCAACCATGCTGGTTGAATGGGTTTAATTGAGTTTGATTCCTTAAGAAGTAATGGTTCCGCAGTACTGATAGCTTTACATATCTCTACATTAAACTTTTAGATTTTTGCAGGTCATTAATTAGGACTTACCTTCTCTTTGAACCTCTGGAAATGAGTCTTCAAGAGCAATTGTTGCCATCTATGACATGAGCCCTTGGCGTCTCCTCTTTTTATTTATTTTTTCTTCCTGTACTGCTTTTCATGAATTCACAAGTTTCAGAGAGGAAAAAAGAAAACTTAGAGGAAAGTGGACACTCACTAAAGCTACCTTAAAATCTTAACTGAGGTTTCAGTTGAAAGTGTTGTTTGTAATATAAACACAGTAAAGATGATAGTAAACGGGTAAGAATGATGTAAAACCTCAAGGAAAAAATAAATGAGAAAAAAATCAACAGTGCAAGACATCCACATGGTGTTCTAAGGACAGAGTAAAGTAAAGGTGGAGATATAGCACAGTGAAGGGAAAGAAGGGAAGACTCAAAGTGTTTGCAGAGCAGGGTGAAGACAGTGTGAGCCTTCTCCTTCTGCACTGTGCTGTGACGCCCATCCCAAGAGGAACTGGGACCACAGGAAGGAAGATCGTGGTGTAGGCATCTGAGCTCCATCTCTAGAAGAGCCCAAGACAGGCGTTCCCGTGCACACTAGTAAGTGTTCTCAGGAGCAATGTGCCAGGGATGAGAACAGAAAGGAGGAAAGGAAAGGGGGCCACCTGGCTGTGGTTGACAGCAGATCAGGGCTCGATTGGACCCTTGGGGGATCTCTGGTTGCACCTGCTTCCTCTGCAATGGACACCAAGAGCACCTGATGTAGGATGGACTTAACTTCTTTTATAGGAAATGATTGGACCCTCCAAACAACCAGGTAGCTACAGACCCTGGTCTCGAAATACCCACTTCCTCTCTTGACAATGCTACTTTCTAGACGACATGAATTGGGAAGTTCTTGAAACTCTAGAGACATGTGCAAAAAACAAGGCAATTAAATGGAAGTCTCCATGTGGAGTTCTGAACCTCACTGTACCTTGTCCACTGTTCTATCCCCTGGGTGGGTTGAACCAGACACACACAAACACACACACACACACACAATTAGTTAGGAGATGTGGGATTCTGATGGAACTGAGTGGTCAAAGAATAGGAACAGAGATATGGCCAAAAAACACTTCTGTCTACTCTGCCTGACCATCCAGCTGTCTGCAGTGCAGCATGCTGGGAAATCAGCCTCACTGATGAATCGAGCAAGGGCAAGAAATACGTTCAGCCCCTCTCTGAAATAGCTCAGCACAGCAAGCATTCACAGGAAAAGTTTTGTCCTGAGTATGAATACGCAAAACCAGCAACAGGGCTGGAGACATAAGAAAATATTTAAATGTATAATTAATATCTACAGGAAATCAGAGGCAAATGCTTTACCTGTAAAAAAGAAAGGAGAATAAGAGCCTTGGAAAGCTAACTTATTTTACTTCTCAAAACAGCAAGTTCAAGTATATGAGCTTGAGGATAAAGTTGAATTGCGTCCCAGATTACAAAACAAATGACAACACAGTATAAGAAAACATAGAACCATAAGCGATTTAGACATTTGGTTTAAGGGTTTCAGTATCTCAAGAATGGACATTCTAGGAAGAGAAACAAATGAAAACAAGGGAAGGAGATTATTAAAGTACCATTTTGGAAAATATCCAGTATTAACTGATCCAGTTCTTCCCCACTGGATATACACAACAATGAAAGAAGAAGACAGGAAAATTCATTATAGAATTTTGGAGATAAGAAAAGATTTTAAAAGTGTGTTGGAAGTGGTGGGGAAGTTGTAGGAATGAGAAGCAAACCACATACAAAGAAGAGTTAGAAATGACTTTTTTTTCCACACCAACAATGAAAAGTAAAGTGAGACAGTGCCTTCCAATTATGAAATTGTCCCTTGAACCTTCTATATTTGCAGTAAAATACTGATGAAATAAAATCATTTCAGCCATGCATTGTCTCCAAAAGTTTACCTGCAGTGTATCTCAGGAAAGTCCAGGGGGAATCCTGCAGCAGGAGTGCCGAGAAGAGAAAGGGTGTCCTCAGAAGAGAAACTGAGAACCTGAAGGACACACCAGGATCACAGCTGCAGAGCAGATGGAAAGAGGAGCGTGTTCAGATTGCTACTAAGGAGGAGGACTCAAGAAATTAAATGTTCAGGAAAAAGTTGAAATACATTTTCTGATGTGTTTGAATATTTTATTCATTTATTTGTTTATTTGTTTATTTTGGTACTGGGGATCGAACTCAGGACCTTGCACTTGTAAGGCAGGTGCAGTGCCACTGAGCTAAATCCCTAGCCCTGAAAGTTTTATTTTTAGGGAAGCTTTACTCTTCTTACGTGGAATGTTTTCATGGAGCAATTGCGGAAAAAATTATGGTTAGACATAGGACTTTAGTAGGGAAGAAAGACAGTTATGAACATTGTGACAAAAAATGTTCAAGGGAGAAAACGGGAGTCGTGCCGTTCGGCTTTGCTCGTGAGCGGCGCGTCCGAGTGTAAATATGTACACCGTAAGTGTTGGGCAGGCTGGGCGAGCGGAAAAAGGGATTGCTATCTAATTGAGTTACGTGCTCATCTGGCATAAACAGATTTCAGCAACATGTTTAAAACTGACAAGTTAAGAAAAAGTAACATAAGTGTGCCACGGAGAAATACAGAGGTGAAGACGTGCAAACCAAGGACAGGGAAAGCGCGGGCACTGAAGCAGCTTCACTGCACCCCGGGTGTAGTACATCTGGGAAGCTATGATTTTCGTTGCATACTTTTTTCAGTATTTGTATTATTCTGATAAAAATCGAAAACAAAATTATAAACCAATTATAAACAAAAGACAATTACTTTTTCCAGATAAACAATATATTTTAATATAAACAAGAAAGAAAAAATGTGCAAAATAATGAAGCATAAAATGTAAAAATACGTGTAATTGAGATAACTTGAAATGGTGACATACTGAAACAAAATTCCTCTCAACCATATTTGAAATCAGTGGTGAGCCCTCATGGTAGTTGTAGCGGTGAATGAATTCATTCTAATAATGTAAGGCAAGTTGTTTTTGCAGTATATTCTATAAAACCCAATTTTAGGAACAGCTAGGCATTTGGGACCTTCTGTTCTCATTTTAAAGATATTTGTATTAGGTGAGTGACTGATGAACTACCTTACAAGGTGGTAATCTTGACCTATGTATTTCACGGCCTTAAGCATCTGTAAGCCATAGGCTGGTGCTCCATTGCGCAGTCTGTAAATCAGACCCCATTCTTATCCAGGGAAGATTTCTCAGTAAAACAGAGAACTTTTATGTAAGTGCTGCTGTGAGAGTTACATGGGCTGAGGTTGGCTGCAGCCTTTCTTGAAGGTTTCTTATCTCTCAAGTACTCTGTGAAATATATGAAAGCCTGTGGCATAGAATTGCGTGTTAAGTGCTGAGTTCCACTGGGATGACATCAGTGTGTTCTCCGTCTAGGGATTCACTGACGGAGACCTATTAAAAATTCAGTTTGGCGGAGCAAACGTGTCTGGATTCCAGATAGTGGACTATGATGATTCCTTGGTGTCTAAGTTCATAGAAAGATGGTCAACTCTGGAAGAGAAGGAATATCCTGGAGCACACACGACTACAATTAAGGTTTGCTTTTGTTTCTGATTTCTTTCCTGTCTTGAGGTGAGAAGAAAGAAGGTTAGATAGCATGGTTCAAAACATGACAGATGTATAGACTGCTAAATCTGTTTTTCATGTTTAATTTAGAAATCAGGGCAGCTTTACTGTGTTACTATTCAGTTTTTCATTTCTTATATACTTTCATTTTATTTAGTTATATATTTATTTATCTGTCAGGGGCTTTGCATGTTGCTTGGATTCTGAACCAGGTACTGTAGTGGTAAACAGAAAGAAAGTGTCCTGTCTACTCACAAGTTAGGGTGGAAGACAGTAAGCGTAAAGAAGAATCCCGTGACGGAAGGGCATAGTGAACTCAAAGACACCATGCGAGGCTACCTCAAAATACATGTGCTAGAAAGACCGCTTGGGGAAGACATTTTCAAAATAAAACTTGAGGAATAAAAGGAAATTTGCATGCTTCTGAGAAAAATACCATTTACAAATAAATTAAAGAACAATAGATGTCAGTTTGTCCTAATCTTCAAAAGCGTACTTGGAGACAGTTCAGTCAGTAAGGATAGGGTCACATCCGAGAAATGTGTGCGTGTGTACATGTGTGTGTGCAAAGTAGCTGAGGATAAATACCCTGCCTCTGAGATACAGTAGAATGTGGATAACCTCAGTTTACTCCAGTAATTAAAAATAAATGTAATGCTCATGCAGGCAAAGACTTTTGAATACCATGCCAAATAAAGCCAAATCATATACACTGTGAGATACAAAAGCTACATGGATTTATTTTGTATCCTATGGGTTGAACACACTGAGATCCTCATTTGTTTATTTTATGTATTTTTATGTCTTCCTTTAAATATTAAATGTTTCTGCTGTTGGCAGGAAGGCTTTTGTCTTCCATTGTGCCATCCTCATTGGAAGCAGAGTTAAAATTAAGACTCAGCCAAGTGTGGATAGACAAGCAAGTAATGAAGGGAAAGAGATGCTCACTTCTTTATGAAAACAGACTGTGATAAAGAAAGCACACACTGTCAAATGTGCAATGCTGTTGTTTGTTCACTTGTGTGTCAGAAAGCAGAGTGCATGTGAACTCTTAGGAGAAGCGATGGTTCAGTTAGTGTCCCCTTACAGTTGTTTATACATAGACATAAGGTATTGACCATAAACTAATGTCTGGCCATGCAGCTAATCTTAGACAGCAAGGAGGAGCCCCGAGGCCCTGTACTTCAGGGGTATATAAACGGGTCCTCGTGCTTTTCAGTCAGTCTTGTAGGATGTTAAAAAGTAACCATGAACTAATGTTCATCTGAAAAGTAGGTGACTTCCTCTCCAGTGACTTCACCCAAGGACCAGCTTTTATGCTGTTTATGTGTGGGGGTTTGGGTTCAGGAACAGGATGCCCCTGACCCCAGTCAGTGCTGGATGTCTGCATCAGTGTTCCCTGGACCGGACTGCTGACCCTCCTCTGTGAGAGTTAGGCTTCCCTCTGCGGGAGATGATTTTGTCCAAACTCCAGGGAGGAGTGCTGTGTCACTCACTCTCAGATGGAGCCAGCATGCTCTCTGTGAATACTCTGGTAGTCATCTTGTGCCCCCATCACTGCCTGCTGTGAGAACTGGGGAAGTAAAAGGAGATTCTTTGTTTCCCTCCTAGAAATCTTATCATCATTCACATTCCTGTGTCTTGCATCAAAATGCATGGTGTATGTGGAGTGGAGAGCAGTCTGTTAACATTTTCCCCAACCCTTCTGCTGGATACCACCCTGCTGAGAGGCGACATGGTGACATTTCTTTGCCCTCCCACAGTGGCATTTCCAGTCCATGATTTCTCTCTTTTGGTGGCTTCTAATTTCCAGAGGGCATCATGGCCTTTCATTGTGCGATGTTGCCAAGAACACAGGTTTACTGGTTTCAGTATAGGCTGCAAAGCACTCTTTGCCCAGGGTTCAGTGTCTGCATCTGCACGGTGAGTAAGTCATGGCTGCTGATTCCCGAGCTGATGTGCAGATTAAGTAACCTTGACAAACGTTTTCCTGGTATTCAAAGCCTTCCTGCTCATAAAGGTTAATACCTCTCCCCACCCACGTCGTAGGTGTGCCAACTGTAAAAGTCTTTTCAACTTTAACATTTTGTGATCCTTTTACTTCCATCACAGAGGCATCATTTACGAAGCCATCCAACCTTTATGAAAATTACTGAAAATCCCCAGGAAGAATGCATCTTTAGGGGTGAGGAGTTCATCCTAAAACACACACACACACACACACACACACACACACACACACACACACACACACACACACACACTGCTCATATACTAGAGAGCCGGGGATTGAGTGGAAACAAGAAAGGAAATGAAAACATATGAAGCCTGCACTACAGAATCTGCAGTCTAAAAGAGAGACAAGCCCATAGCTCTGCACGTATGAGCAGTAGAGCATGCGCGGCCAGGGATGCGGCCCAAAGGCAGAGCACGGGACCAGTGAGGATGCTGCCCTGGGCTTGATTCCCAGGACCCAGGGATGTTGCGTGCAGATTGCGGAGCATCCTGTAGATGGTAGCACAGGGGGTGGGTGGGGGTGTCAAAGAAAGCGCTCTGCGGGGTGGCGGGGCCCTAGTAGGTTTGGAAAAAGGAAGTGGGAGTGTCCTTAGGAAAGAGCAACGTGGGCAGAGACACAAGTGAGACAGCAGCATGGCGGATGCGAGGAACCATACATATTTGGCAGCAGCCAAAAGTTCTTAAATATCTGGAACAGATGAAAGGAGCATGTGATTGGGCTCTAAGAGGTGAGGGTATTCAGCTGCCAGCAGATGCAGTGCAGGCAGTCACTCTAACTAAAGTGGCCCCCGTCCCTGTCCACAGGGAACGCATTCTAAGGCTCCGAGTGGATGTTTGAAACTGTGAGGAGTATCCATCCCACGAGTAGGCTGTCTTTCCTGTACTGCACATTTGTGATAAGTTTAATTCAGCAACTAAGCATAGGGACAGATTAGCAACTAATAATACAACAGAACAACTGTCACAGTGTGATTTTGCAGAGTATCTTATTACACCGGAATCACTGTTTTTCTTCTCAGTACTTTGAGATGATGCTATTCTGTGTTAGGAGGGGAAGGAAGCTGCGGGGCATCACTATTGTGACCTCAGCAGACAGTGGATTTCTTTCCTAATTCAGTGAAAAGCTTTGAACTTTTCACATAAAAGATGTACTCTCTGGCTTCTCTTGGGTTCGTCCAAGTCGCCAGCAGCACCGCTGGTGCATCCGGGTGATTATTAAGTGAAGTGAAGGCTCCCGGCACATGCGCACTCCCGGCTCCTCCTACAGTGCTCCTCCTGGCAGAGCTGCCAGTGGGCTGGGTGCTGGGGCCCAGATACGCGAGCCAGGGCCAGGGCGCGAGATTGCATGAGATTGCATCACGCTCTTCACACAAGATGCAATTTAAGGCTGGTGAATTATTTATTTCATATTTTCAGGACATGGAAATAAAAAGTGCAGATGTGTGAAAACTGCTGTAATGCTCTCGTGTTTTTCTGCTTCTATCCGCAGAAGAGAGAAGGAAAAACTATACAGCGGACTATGTAGCATTCTCTAAATAAAATTAATGTATTCTCAATATATGTTTTATGAAAGGAAAGCTAGCAAAATATCTAATGAGATTGTTTCTAATGAGGTTACCTCCTTTGAAATGTTTTTTGGGTCATTAACTATTAAGGTACATTGGTGTTTAAATCACATTTTACTGATTTACAATAAAAACTAGTGCTATAGGCATGAAAAGCTATAAAAACACATTTTATTACATCGAATTCTTTCCTTGACTAGGCTTTGAAAATTTTATTAAGATGTGGGAATTATAAATACATGATTTTTTCAGAGGTTTTTAGTCTATCCCAAAAGTTAATTCAGCTTCCATAGTTTCCTAATTAAAATAAAATGTATGCAGACATACATACAGAACACTCAATCACTGTTAATATTTAACAAGATTTAATATGCAGCAAATGTAATTACAATGTTTAAAGTTTTCATCTTTATATAAGTACAAAAAATTGCCTTAGAATCATAGTACTAGTACTGAGATTTAAAATCTCAGTCTCACTGATATGCTAATGATTTGGCAGAATATTCAGTTATCCACTGAACACATACTTACTGAATTTTCAGCCTTAGTATTCATTATTATAGGTGTCCAAGGCAAACCAAAGTTCTGTTCTTCCAGGAATTAAGTCTTCAGGGTAGAAGCCAGCAAATACTTTGTAGCAGTGACAGAAATTATCTTACTGACACCTTACCCCTATACACTCAAAACTGGACTTCTGATTTCCTGATGCTTATTGCTTGTTCTTTCTAGTCTTTCTTCTCTCGGTGATGGCTGTCTTTCAGCTGTTACTTAGACTCAAAACTCAAACATGTCCTTGACTGCTGTTCTCCCACATCCAGTCTGTCACGAAATCCTATTAGCTCCACTGACTTACTACCCCTTCTCTGTACCCACTCCAATCCACCCACCACCCCCTCTGCCGGCGCGATGGCCGTAATCTCCCCATTTCCGTCCTCCCACATTTCTGCCTCTCTCTCCCTTCCCATCCTTGTGGTCCTTTGAAAACGTAAATGAGACTGTGCCGTGATTCTGCTCCACGCTTTCCGTTTCACTTGCATGAGAGCCAGAGTCATCTTGCTGGCTCGAAGGGACCCTCCGTACTCTTGTGCCAGTCACGTGTAGCCTGATTTCTCAGCTCCAGCCCCTCACTTGCTCTCTGCTCTTGCAAGCGTGGCCTTTTTGCTGTTCCTCTTGCACCTTGGGAACCTTGCTACCCGGGGTCACTGTGCAGGCTCCCAGGATGGACCAGGTCCTCCTTATGTCTCTGCTTTGCTTGAATGCCCAGAGGCCAGTGGTCGGCTGTGTATTAAGAACTGCGGTCCCTGAACCATTGCTCTTTCTCTGCCTCATTTTCCTCCTTCCATTTTCCATCCTGGCGCACTGCAGTTGATTTCATTTCAGTGTTGTCTC